TCAAATACAGGCCATTTACCATTTGATTAATCCAGGGACTTTTTCTCTTGCTAGAAAAAGTTATCTGCTTAACAGGAGCTACTTTATCTAAGATACTGCAGCATTGTTTGTCCAATGACTGGATGAACAAGCTTGGATCATCACCCTGAACTGAGCTGCTGTCATATAATCTAGAAAATCCATCCACTGCTGACTAGGGATGGGTACCTTTGACATTTGAATCGATCCGGTACTAATTTCCGGTACCTACGAATCGACACGGTACTTAACGGTACCAATTTTCAATACTTTTGTTTATTATTTTAATTATCTTTTATAATTAAATATATATTTTTCTCAATATATAACAATATTTGATAAATATCACGATAAATAACATTCAACTGTTTGTATTTTAACATCATCCTTGTAGTTTTATAAGCTGATAATTAAATTGAAGCAAACATCTTTACTGTGAACTAAATTTACTGCGTATCTTCATTCCTTTTGCCGTCTTTTTTCATTTGATTTTTCCTACTGGGAAGTTAGAATTTCCGAGGAGAAAGCGAACGCACCATTAGCTGATAACAACGGTGGATATGGAAGCTAACATATCAAGCTAACGTTATCTTTAACAGTTTATTTAACTGCTGGAGCAGATTAAAACGATGATGCCTCACACTTAGATCGTTGTCGCTGGTTTCATCTTCACCCAATCACCCGTCGCATTTAGTAAAGTGAAGCCAAACTTTAGAGTGCGTTCATGTTCTAGTCGGAAATTCGGAGTTCCGAGGAGAAAGCGAACACACCATTAGCGAAACGGAAGCTAACATACCGTATCAAGGTAACTTTATCTTAAACATTTTATTTACCTACCGGAGCAGATTAAGATGAGTATGTCTCACTTAGATCGTTGTCTGTCGCTGGTTTCATCATCCCCCAGTTACCCATCACATTTAGTGAAGTGGACCCAAGCGTTAGCGTGTGTTCTTTCTACTATGCTCCTCTGTTTACAACTCGCTCGCAGGGACCGACGACATAACGCTCTTGCGCATGCGCAGCTGTCTTGGCAAGTTCTCGTTATGAAGGACGGGTACCGAAACGAGGCACCGTTTGAAACGACGTGAATCGGTGCTCGGTCGGTAGTATGGAATTCGGTCGGTACCTTAAAAAGTACCGAATTCTTTACCCATCCCTACAGTGCTGACTGATTAATGATTTGTCTCTTTGATTTTAGGTTGTGATGGACAGATTCAACGTTAGACAGGACATTAAAAAACATGCAACTGTGGTTACTCACATGAACCTCTTCAACATGTAAATGATTGATTTTTAGTCCCAAAGAGAAAACAAGATCTAGAGTGTGGCCCATTTTGTGTGTGGGGCCTGAAACGTGCTGCTCTAAGTTAAAAGACTCCATAATAGACATGAATTCCACTGCTGTGCTACAGTTGGGATCATTAATGTGTAAGTTAAAGTTACCAAGGATTAACACTTATTCTAGTTTGATCATTGATGATAGAAAATCTGCAAATTCAGAGAGAAAAGGGCCAGGTGGACCGGGAGGTTGGTAGATTAAAATACAGTGAAATTGATTTTGTAACCCTGCTTTGATGACCTGACATTCAAAAGTTGTAAAAGGGCCATTTTTCACCAGATTACAGACACGTTTTTCCTTAAAGACCACAGCAAGACCTCCACCACGATGTGTCGGGCGTGGTGTGGTAAACACAGAGCAGTTTGGTAGACATATTTCATTGAATTGTACAAAATCTGGATGGAGCCTGTCTTCTGGTCCGTACTGAGAAAGAACCGCCCCCGCGCCAACGTCCGAGGCATCAACCTCGACCACAAAGGGCGTGGCAGTGTCTGGATGGCGGCGGACGGGAGCAGTCGTAAATTGGGTAAACAGGTGGCGGAAGGCGTGGACAGCTGCTGGGGTCAGGCGTAATGGTTGGCCTAGTGAAGGTGGTTGGGTGATGGAGGTGAGCAGGGCGACCACTGAGCTGAAACCCCTGATGAAGTAGCGATAGAAGATGCAAAATCCCAGAAAGCTCTGCAGTTGTTTCAGGCTTGTCGGAAGGGGCCAGTCCACGATTGCCTCCACCTTCTGGAGTTCCATGGTTACCCCCTGATTGGACATCACGAAGCCCAGGAAGGAGATGAACTGCTGGTTGAAGGAGCATTTCTCCAGTTTGCAGAAGGGATTGTTTTCTAGGAGCCGAGTGAGGACGGCACGGAAATGCTGGAGGTGTTCCGCTTCGGTCCTGGAGTAGACTAGGATATCATCCAGGTAAGCGAACACCCACCAGCCGATCATGTTGTGGACATTCTTGATGAGACTTTGAATGACGACAGGGCTATTGCACAGTGCGAAGGGCACGACCTGGTACTCTCAGTGACCGGTGGGCGTGATGAAAGTGGTTTTCCACTGATACCCTGCTTTAATATAGACCAGGTTGTAGGTGCTCCTGAGATCCAGCTTGGTGAAGATCCGTGCCTGGGATAAGGAGTCCAGAGCAGTCGTGAGAAGAGGCAGGGGGTGATGGTCCCGGATGGGGATCTTGTTATGTCCCCTGTAATCGATGCACGGACATAGGCCACCATCCTTCTTCCTCACAAAGAAGAACCCAGCAGCCCCGGGGCAGGAGGAGGGTCAGATGAAGCCTTGGAGGAGGGCCTTGCCGATTTAGTGTCTCCAAGGGGAAGAGAGATAAAATACGCCCCCTGGGGAGGGTAGTCCCGGGTTGTAGTCTGATCTCCATGTCATAGGGGCAGTGCAGTGGCAGAGCAGAGGCACATCATTCATCGAAGACGGTGGCGAGGTCCTGATAAGGAAGCGGCAGGTTAGGTAGTGAGGGTCTTGGTCCCGCAGTACAGCCGGCCATGGAGACAGAGGACGGGGAGAGGTGAGCTTGACACTGGGTCCCCCAGCCTAATAGGCAGTTCTGGGACCAGGAAATCTGGGGGTCGTGGAGGCAGAGCAAGGGGAACCCCAAGATTAAAAGAGAAGAGGGGGCTGAAATGACCAGGAAGTGAAGGGTCTCCTGGTGGCATTGGATGGTCATCTGAAGAGACTGGGTGTGGTGTCGCACTGGGTATGGCCGGAGGGGCCAGCCGTTCACAGAGGTCACAGGAATGGCATGTTCCAGATGGGCTAGAGGAATCTGTAAGCATTGGGCCAGATCCTTGTCAATAAAGTTGTCGGCTGTCCCTGAGTCGACCAAGGCGTCAACTTGGTAATAGTCTGTGCCACAAAGGAGGGTAACTGGAAGGAGGAATTGATGGGAGGACACGGGGTAGAGGATGACCTGGACTGAGTTCCCCCAACTCCCAGTGGGTGCTGTCGTTTACTGGCCACAGTGGGCAGACCAGATGACAGTGATCGGGGAAGCCACAGTAGGCACAGCGCCCCTCACGCCCCCTTCTCTCTCTCTTCGGGTGGGAGGTGGCTCAGCTGCATTGGTTCTTCCACAGAGGAGGCAGAAGGGTGCCCCGGGGCTTAAGCGGGTGAAGGAGGAGGGGTCTTGGAGTCCTGACAGAGTGGGCAGGGACTCGGGGTCGAACTAGAACCTTCTGGTCAATGCTCAGAGCGAGGTCTGTCACGCCATCCAGGGTCTGGGGTAGCTCCCTACCAGTCATCTCTTAAGGTGCCAGACCCTCCAAAAAGACAGCACGGAGGGCGAGGTCATCCCACTGCAGTTTGGCAGCGATGGTGCAAAACTCTTACACATACAGACACACAGGGTGCTCTCATTGACAGAGTTTCAGAAGGCACGCTCTCGTTGATGGAGTTTCAGAAGGCAGGCCTGAGCTCACATCTCGGTATTGGGTGGGACGAAGATCTTCCTGAGGGCGGCCACGAAGGCGGCATAGTCATTGCAGGCCAGGGATTTTGAGTTGTAGAGGACGGCGGCCCACTCCTGGACACATCCAGTGAGGGGGCAGAGAGCTGCGCAACTCAGGAAAGGGCAGTGGGGTATCTTCCTGGTTGGCACTCGTACAGCATGCTCAGGGATGCTAACAGGCCATCGGGACTCCCATCCAAGCCGTTTCACTTCTCCGGAAGGGCGAGTAGCGGCTCCTCCTTTGCTGGGGCATAGACCTGCTGTTGTAGCGTGTTAAGGGTACCTTGGAGAGCAAGGTCAGACAAGGAGTTTCCCTTGGTGTTGAGCCAATCTACCAGGGCACAAAGCTGCACGACCTTGGCTTTCATCTACTCAAACTTTGTGGGGTTAATGGATTCAGTCATCCTGCCACTGCAGTTGGACTGGTAGGAGTTGAGCTGTGGCGTGAATGACATCCCAGACGTAAAAATGCAAGCACTGGGATTGAGCCGGCACGTGGATTGATCTAGATTGATGCCAACAATCTTAAGCCCCCCGAACCAGGGAGCAGCGAACACGCAGGCAGACCAAGGCTCCACACTCAGCAGTAAATGTGGCAGGAGGAGGGCAGGCAAAGATGTCTAGCAGCACAGGATGACCCAAGTGAGGGGAGGAGACCAAAACCCCACCTGACATACACAGTCATACCCAAACACAGTCACACACTCCCTCCGTCATGCTCACACATACACATACAACCGGAGACTTACAAAAGTGAATGCTAGACACCCACTCGTGCTCCCTATACACACCCTATTAACTCTGGTCCTGGTACTGCTGCACAGAGGTTGCTGCACAACCATCCCAGGACCAGATTTAGCCCCGTACTGCTGGGGTGATGATGAGCAGACACCCCCGACGATGAGCAGACACCCCCATCCAACGCAGAGCAAAGTACGATGTAGGGCAGCGGTAGCTCAACAGGTTGAGCGGGTTGTCCAGTAATCGGAAGGTTGCAGGTTCAATCCCTGCTGTTGTGTCCTTGGGCAAGACACTTAACCCAACTTGCCCGCTGGTGGTGGTCGGAGGGACGAGTGGCGCCTGTGTACAGCAGCCTCGCCTCTGTCTGTGCACCCCAGGGCAGCTGTGGCTACATCGCAGCTCATTACCATCAGTGTCTGATTGTGTTTGTGAATGGATGAATGATACACTGTAGTGTAAAGAGCTTTGGAGTCCATACTCTGAGAGGTGCTTTACAAGTGCGGGTCATTTATCATCATTCAAAATCCACACAACAATAAAGTTTTAAGTATCAGGCATGACATTAAAGCAGAAGCTTTGATGCTCCACCTGAGAGTAAATCTGTAAGGCTCGTCACCAGCATTCAGACATCAAGATTTGGACACAAAGCGGGAGACTGTCATTAATGTGGGGCACCATCTCAATTTGCAGGACCTGACAAACAGTGGAAAAAAAGGAGATGAATAAATGTCAAATATTAGAGGTGCTTCAGAACCCCCAAAACTAGCTAGAAACATCTATGTGCCTAACTGGAAGTGTGACCAAGTACCAGTTAAGGAAACGAAAAACAAACAACTAAGTACTCAAGGGAAGCTGGAGAGATCATGTGACAATGACTTAGGTAGTGATGAAAAAGTGCACGTCAGTAACAGATTAAAAGAAACGTGTGTAGGATTTGAGGTCAGAACACTGCTGTCGCTGCACCTCTCTCTGACCCTCTAATGGAGGTCCTTGACACAGATTTCTGCTTTCCACATCTCCCTAACACTTCCTGTAGGAAGCCTTCTCTTTCAAGTCTCACAACTGTGTTTCTGAGGTTTCTCCTGTCCTTCATTGGTGTGCTCACTGTCGTTCTCAACCTGCTTGTTATCATCTCAGTGTCTCACTTCAGGCAAATAATTATCTTTATTCTAATGGTTATTAATCTGTGCTGATGTATTTTTTAACACTTTAAATACTATGCAAGTAAATTTGAAGAAAGTACAGTGAAATGCTTTGAAAGTACCTTTGAAGTACTTAATGAAAACTACATCTGTTTATTTTATTTTTTAATTGTGCTTTTATTTCCTCTCAGGAAGCTCCACAAAACCACCAACTTCCTGCTCCTGTCCCTGGCCATCTCAGACTTCATGGTAGGCCTTGTGTTCCTACCAGGGGAAACTCTCAGAGTAACTGCCTGCTGGTTTCTTGGTGATCACTTGTGTTTGTTGTATACATACCTTTCGTCCCTTACTGTCACTTCTTCAATTGGAAATGTGGTGATGATATCAGCTGATCGCTTTGTGGCTATCTGTGACCCTCTGCATTACCACACCAGAGTCACTGTGAAAAGAGTCCAGGCCTGCATCTGTTTGTGTTGGCTCTACTCAATTTTGTACAACGTTACTTTTGTGAAAGACGGTCTAAAGGACATAAATAACTCTTGCAATGGGAATTGTGTATTGATCATCGACTATTTTGCAGGGTTTCTTGATCTAGTTTTAAATTTTTTGGTTCCAGTTACAATGATTGTAGTTCTGTACATGAGAGTATTTTGTAAAGCTGTTCTTCATGCCCGTGCTATCCGCTCTCATGTTACAGCTGTTACTGTCAAGCATTCTGTGACGCCATCAGCCAAAAAGTCTGAATTAAAAGCAGCGAGGACTCTTGGGGTTCTTGTGGTTGTCTTTCTAACTTGTTTCTGCCCTTTTTACTGTGCTGCGCTTTCAAGCGATGGCTTCTTTGATGTATCAGCCATTGCCTTCTGTTTTTTCAGCATTAGCTCCTGCCTGAACCCTTTGATATATGCCTTATTTTATCCGTGGTTTAGGAAATCTGTAAAACATATTCTCACTTTTAAAATACTACAGTCTGGCTCATGTGAGGCTAATGTAACATAGAAAAGAAGCTGTTTAGAAGTTTTAATTTTAGTGTGTTATTCATAATAAACCAGACTTACAAAACTAGACTTATGATAATGATAATAACCCGCATTTGTATAGCACCTTTCAGAGTAAGGATTCCAAAGCGCTTTACACTACAGTGTATCATTCATCCATTCACACACACATTCACACACTGATGGTGATGAGCTACGATGTAGCCACAGCCGCCCTGGGGCGCTCTGACAGAGGCGAGGCTGCCGAGCACAGGCGCCACCGGTCCCTCCGACCACCACCAGCAGGCAAGGTGGATTAAGTGTCTTGCCCAAGGACACAACAGCACACAGAAAGAATTTTTTTTCCACAGAAGAGTGATTCTGTTGAATTAAATAAACAAAAAGGTTTTTAAAACCTGAAATACTGAACAAAGCCACATTTGTCTCATTAAGCACATTATGAGACACATTAGTTTATCCAGATTTATCTCTGTAGTTATGCAGCTATAGGCTTAGACTGCTGGAGGATACACTGACCACTTTCCACACTCGACTACTTTCTTCTTCAATTTGCTCTTTAAGTATATTATTTCCTGCTATTTCAGCTGCTATTTTTATTTTTTCTATTAAGTGTTTTTCTCCCCAGAAGAAGCTACAATGATGTTCTGCTGAGCTGTGGTGGCCTCATGGAGAGGGCCATCGGCTTGAACACTGTTGCTAACCATTTAAACATTTTTCCTCTCTGATATTATTTGTCTCTCTTTGATACTGAATGTGCTACTACTAGTTTACTCTTTAATTATAGATTCATTAGGATAAATACAATAAAGTTGATCTCTCACCAAATGGAATATTTACTAAGAAATCACAATGTAACCGTAGAAACACTACTTGGTATAAATGTTGTGTGTGTGTGTGTGTGTGTGTGTGTGTGTGTGCGTGTGTGTGTGTGTGGGTGTGTGTGTGTGTGCTCTATCTTCTCGATCCCCAGTGAGTCGTGGAGAATGGATGCTTATACTGAGCCAGGATCCTCTGGAGGTTTCTTCCTGTTAAAAGGGAGTTTTCCTCTCCACTGTCGCTAAATGCTAGCTTAGTATGAGGCTTGCTGTAAATCACGGACTGGTGATGACAGCGTGCATGAAGAGTAGTTGGCCGGCCCGTCGGCCATTTTGGAGTACCGGTCTTTCTGTGATTCTCCAGAATCCACAGATGGCCAGTCCGCCCCTGCTGGGAACTTGAAGTCACGGAGAATAATTGAGAAAAATCCTACCCATCACAGGTACAAAACATCTGCACCTATTCAAAATCTTTGGTACAAGTTCACAAATTGTATTCATTGAGTTACGCATCAAAAAACTTGCTATTGCATGTTACAGAATATGTATATGTATATATATTAACATATTCCCACACACATGTGGTTTTGTCATTTTTTTCTTACCAGAAACACAAATGAGTGAATGCAACTGTACAAAGCAGCTGATGTGAGTCACAAATGCTGCTTTTCAAGCTATACATTCTTTTTTTTAACAATGCCCTATTTCACACAACTCGTCTCAGGCAGAAAAGGAATTATAACCTGTGGGTAATTTGTATGCCCGAACAGCTGGGGGTGCTTTTAACCTTAGTGTTAACTAGACAGTATACCTCCAAGAATAACAGATTTAAGGATGTGATCATCACATTGTGATGTATGTCTGCTGCTATGTATCCATTTAGCAACTCTGCATTAACTATTGAGCAACAAGTTTGAATGAATTCACAATTGTATGCTTTCCAACCTTATTTAGACTCATTTAACTTTTTACCCTGAACAAAGTGATTTATGTTTATGTGTTTGGCAGACGATTTTGTCCAAAGCGACTTCGTATTTTGATAAGTTTAATGAGAAATTAAAATCAATAGTACAATATAATATAACAAAGAAACATTTGCAGGTTTACAAGCAAACAGACTTACAGGTGACAGTCAAGCCAGCAGGTTGCCCTTGAGGCTTAACACTGTAGAGAACGTTGAAAGATATTAAGAAAAGACTTAAATGTGGTTTTCATCACCATGTGCAGCTAATGCTAAACTGAGAGGCAAGCATGGATGAAAAAGCTGCTTCACCTCTAAACGTTTAGAGTTACTCTTGGTTCGTGGGGGCAAAAGCCTATTTGTAAAGTAAGAGAAAGAGTGAATAGCTTACTTAACCAGTGTGGAGCCGAGTTTGGTGAAGTAAATTTTTTATTGGAAAACTGCTGCTCTTTTCACTACAAGTCAGGAACTGAGATGGACCTCCTCGTCGTTGTCGTCTTCCTCCGCTTATCCGGGTCCGGGTCACGGGGGTAGCATCCCAACTAAGGTGCTTCAGACCGTCCGCTCCCCGGCCACCTCCACCAGCTCCTCCGGCAGGACCCCAAGGCGTTCCCGGACCAGATTGGAGATGTAACCTCTCCAACGTGTCCTGGGTCGACCCGGGGGCCTCCTGCCAGCAGGACATGCCCGAAACACCTCCCCAGGGAGACGTCCAGGAGGCATCCTGACCAGATGCCCAAACCACCTCAACTGACTCCTCTCGATCCGGAGGAGCAGCGGTTCTACTCCGAGTCCCTCCCAAATGTCCGAGGTCCTCACCCCATCTCTAAGGCTGAGCCCGGCCACCCTACGCAGGAAACTAATTTCGGCCGCTTGTATCCGCGATCTTGTTCTTTCAGTCATTACCCAAAGCTCATGACCATAGGTGAGCAATACCCCAAGATACTTAAACTCCTCCACTTGAGGTAGGACCTCTCTCCCGACCCGCAGTTGGAAAGCCACCCTTTTCCGGTCGAGAACCATGGTCTCAGATTTGGAGGTGCTGATCCTCATCCCAGCTGCTTCACACTCGGCCGCGAACCTACCCAGCAAGAGCTGAAGGTCAGAGCTGGATGAAGCTAGGAGGACCACATCATCCGCGAAAAGCAGAGACGAGATTCTCCTGCCACCAAACTCGACACATTCCACATCACGGTTGCACCTAGAAATTCTGTCCATAAAGGTAATGAACAGAACCGGTGACAAAGGGCAGCCCTGGTGGAGTCCAACACCGGGAAAAGGTCCGACTTACTGCCGGCAATGAGGACCAAACTCACGCTCCTCTGGTAAAGGGACTGAATGGCCCTTAACAGAAAGCCACCCACCCCATACTCCTGAAGTGTCCCCCACAGGGTGCCCCTGGGGACACGGTCATAAGCCTTCTCCAAATCTACAAAACACATGTGGATTGGTTGGACAAACTCCCATGCCCCCTCCATCACCCTTGCAAGGGTATAGAGCTGGTCCACAGTTCCATGGCCAGGACGAAAACCACATTGCTCCTCCTCAATCTGAGATTCAACTATTGATCCGACCCTCCTCTCCAGTACCTTGGAGTAGACCTTTGCAGGGAGGCTGAGGAATGTGATCCCCCAATAGTTGGAACACACCCTCAGGTCACCCTTCTTTTTGTTTTCTTTTTTTTTTTAACCGTGTCCTGTCTGGCTGTGAAGCAAGCAGAATTGATGTCTGAATGCTGGTAACAAGCCTTACAGATTTACTTTCAGGTGGAGCATCAAAGCGTCTGCTTTAAATGTCACACCTGATACTTCAAATTTTATTGTTAATGTTTTTGAATGCTTTGTAATTCCGACCAGACACGGAGACAGAGGTGAAAGAGAAAGGAAAATACAAATGGTGGGAAGGGGGGTTTCCACAAAGATAAACAATAATGAACAAGAGTCGGCTTCTAGACCTGCAGAAAGAGAAGAGCAGAAAAAAATGGGACACACAACAATACATCAGGAGCAAGCTATCACTGCGTCAATGTGATGATGAAATATAAAATCAACATTGTTAAACTGAACAATCACATGATAATAAATCATAGTGCATTTAGTGGCAACGACAGCCTTGAGACAAGTGCTGAACGTGCCCAAGTCCATACTTTTGAGAGCAACATGTGAGCACCTGTGTTTGTACACGCGCTTATTTATGTAAGGTTTCCCAATAGGAGCGTCCAATAGAGAGTGTGAGGGACCACATATCTCCCCCCCCCCCCGTCTCTGTGTAGGTGACAGGGGGAGCTCCAAGTCCCAGAGATCCAGGCGCTGCCCCAGAACACAGGAACCCCAAGGGGACTGCAACCAGAAAGGCCCCCCACCCCCCTCGAGAGGAGCAGAGGATCGCCCCGGGGGGCCACAACCAGCAGCCAGCAGAGTCCCGGGAGATATCAGCGGCAAGCCCACAGGCCCGCCCGCCACCTCCCACCCCCTAGCCGGCCGAGCCCGGGACCCAGCGACCAGGGACCCAGGGGCGACCACCCCCGCCGGGGACCCAGCAGAGCCCAGGGACCCAGACCCCACCAGGCAGCCACCGGGATTGATCAAGCAGACGCCAAATCTTAAACCCCCTGACCCGGGAGCCACGAACACTCAGGCAGACCAAGGCACCACACCCCACACCAGATGTGGCAGGGGGAGGGGAGACGAAGATCTATATCATCAAAGGAGGTCCCAGGAGAGGGGAGGAGTCAAAGGCCCCACCTGACATATACAGTCATACACAAACACAGTCACACACTCCCTCCCTCATGCTCACACATACACATACAACCAAAAACTTACAAAAATGCACGCCGGACACCCACTCATGCTCCCCATACACACCCTATTCACTCTGGTCCTGGTACTGCTGCACACTGGGTACAACCATCACCGGTTACCAGAGTTTGACCCTTTCTGCTGGGGTGCTGATGAGCAGGCTCCCCCGCCCAACGTTGAGCACAGCAACCCACCACCCCAGACCCCAACCAGACGGCCAGATCTCCCTCCTAGCCTCCAGCCCCAGGAAGCCAAGCAACAACAGAGGTGTGCTAAGACCCCTAGTCTCCCTCCGCCTGCTCCAATATAGTGTTGTGTGTTGATGAGGTGTATTCCATGGCTGTGGTGAGCGGGCAGTGCAGGCATTGTCTGGCCTATGCCAGCGGATGCCACCGCACCACCCCACTTGCACCCACAGCCCTCGGTGTCTAAGTGCAGTTTAAAATTGGAAGTGGGCACCGGCATTTGGGAGGAGGCTGAGAAATCTCCCTGCCAAATGCTGTTGAATGTGCTCACTCCCAAGGCCCTAAGTGTGTGTTTGTGTGGAATGTTGTCGGTGGAAGTGTAAAAGGTGCAAATAAAATTGGGGGGCAGGTTGCCACAGGAATGCGGAATTGGAGTCCATACCCGCACTCCCTGACTTGTCCACCCCCCAAGGTACTACGTGTATGTTTGTGTGATGATGTGAGGGAGCAGGAGGAGAGAAATATGCGGGGATGGGGAGGAACGGCTGGTTGGGCTTAGCCCTCCAGGGAGCCAGCTCCCCTACTGGCCCCAATAGGCACCTCTGTTGTCAAAATGCCACCAAGGGCATGGAGACCCCAGCCCATCCTTCCAGGGCCCAAACCAGCAGCATTACAGAGCCTCACGGAGTCCGAGGGCACCAACCCAGCCCCACCCCATTAGAAAATCTATGCCCATCCCTGCATTTACACAACTTCCAGAATATATAAGACATAGGACATCCAGGTAAGGTTGGATCCTCCCCCTCCCCTGTGATGGAACAGCAGAGGAGCCAAGGTCTACATGAGGCCCCTGAACCCGGGCCAGGCACTGCTGCATGTTCCTGCCTTCTTCCCGGCAGCATACATGTCAGGACCCGACCCCCAAGGCCCCGCCCAGATCCCCACACGGGGCCGGCCACCCCCACACCCCGGGCCCCCAGACCCCCACCCAGACCCGCCCAGGGGCAATGCAGCCGCCAGGCAGTGACCCATGGCCGCCGCCAAGACCTCCATGGGGCCCCACTCACGACCGCCAGTAGTCCACCCCCCGAGGCAACCCAAGCACCTCCCAGACACCCCCAGTGAACCCACCTCCAGGGAACATCCGGATACTCCAAACTCAGACCCTCCACCCCCCCACCCACATCATCCCGCAGGACAACATCAACGGTCCCCCATTATCGCTATGTGATGGAACCGATCAAAGGAGCCCAGAGAGATTGATTTGAAGTGGAAGCAGATGCTAAATCAAGTGCAATATGATCTAACAAAATATTTCTATACTGGTTAATGCAGAGTTTCTCTATTTCTCCAATTCAAGAGGATAGTTTTCTTAGCGATGCATATGGCAGTCAGAACCATGTGAACCAAAGATGTTTCAATCGGGACATCGTCTAGGTTTCCCAGTAAACAAAGAGAGGGGGTGGTTGGGATATGACATTTCAGACACTTTGACAGATCTTTACATACTCTACCCCAAAATTCCTGGACAGGTGGGCAGGACCACAGTGCATGAATGTAATTGTCAGGAATGTTGTTTGTGCAGTGTGTACAGGTGTCAGACGACACAAACCCCATCTTGAACATCCAATGACCTGTATAGTGTACTCTGTGTAGAATTTTGTACTGAATTAATTGTAAATTGGGGTGTCTGATCATTTTAAAAGTTTTTAAACAAGTTTGGGATCAGAAGTCCTGGTCAAAGCTAACTGATAGATCCACCTCCCATTTTTCAATAGGAATTGCAATTTTATCGTCTATTTTGGACAGTGTCTTATATACTTTAGACAGTAGTTTGGGGGGTTTGAGATTATAAAAGTCAAATACCCTTGGTGGTGTTTGTAATTCTATTTTATTGATCTTAAATTTTTGTTTGACTACAGATTTAATTTGGTGACACTTTAAAAAGCTATTCTTATCCATTCCAAATTGGAAGACTATTCAATTAAATGGGATAAAGTCCAATCCTTCATATATGTGTTCCAGGTATAGGATTCCTTTATTTTTCCAGTCCGAAAGGTTCATCATTTGGTTATTTTGCAAAATAACCACAGAAGGCACAGAGCGCTCAAAGCCTGGGTGAGCGGGATCAAACCATTTTTGAGGCGGGGATGATTGCTTTATTTTTAATAATAAAATATAACATTTTAACCTACTGTAAGGTTTCAAAATTTTACTAGTGCGTTACAATTACCACAAACAGTAGAAAAAAGGAGATGAATGAATGTCAAATTTTAGGCCTAGTCCACACGTAGCCGGGGTTTTTTAAAAACGAATATCCGCCCCTCCAAAAACTTGCATCCACACCACCGCATTTTAAAAACAAACTCTGTCCACACGTACCCGGATAAATACGTTGTTGAGGACATGCCAGACCTGTAGGCGGCAGTACTTCCCCTGTTCTTAACCTCGTCCTTCGTCTGTGGTCTTCCGCAAGGAGCAGTAATTCCACTTGCAAAAACAAACAAGCAGAAAGCGCTTGGACAATTGATGGATCGGGTAGTGACAGAGCGCAGCTCTGAAGACTTCCATGATGCCGGCTAGTGTAAACACAGGTCGCACACGTGATGTCAGCATTTTTTGTCGCGGAAAGTGACGTTGCGGACCTTAAAACTCCGGTTTTGTCTGTCCACACGCAGACACCCAAAACGGAGAAAACGCAGATCTTCACTTTGGCCAGAGTTTTTAGAAAGATCCGTTTTCGTGTGAAAAAACTCCCGTTTTCGTGTGGATGACAGGCCAAAACGTAGAAAAATATCTACGTTTTGGCAGATCCCCGGCTACGTGTGGACAGGGCCTTAGAGGTGCTTCAGAGCCCCGCAAAAACTAGCCAGAAACATCTATGTGCCTAACTGGAAATGTGACCAAATGAATAGCTTCCTCTTTTTACTTACATCATTGGTCGGCCATGATCCTGGTACCTGGGCCTTCAGTGTGTGTTAATGACTTAATTCACAACTATAATGTTAGAATTACAAGTCACCAATAGTCTACAAAAAGAAATATGTTATTACAGAGGTCCTGTTTAGACCATATTGATCTGGACTTGCTGTGTTTATCATAATACAGGAACAGGATGTTTATGGAGGGCTGGGGGGTGACTGGGCGATGTGTAATCTGATTATTATGCATCGTTGCTTATTCATCAGTTGGTCAAAAATGGCATTTTGTGTATTGTGAGTTAATACCATTGGTATTAAAAACACTACATACAAATGAAACAATTCAGGGGCTGGAACTGTGAGAAGAGTTGTAACTGTTGTTTTATACCTTTGACAGATAAGAATTTTCTGGATTTTTCTCTCATGTTGAGTTCCCAGTTAGAAGGCACAAATTATTTTGCACCACTTGTACCTCCATACCAATTAAGTAAATGAAAAACAAACTACTAAGTACTCAAGGGAAGCTGGAGAGATCATGTGACAATAACTTAGGTAGTGATGAAAAAGTGCACGTCGGTAACAGATTAAAAGGTACGTGTGTAGGATTTGAGGTCAGAACACTGCTGCCGCTGCACCTCTCTCTGACCCTCTAATGGAGGTCCTTGACACAGATTTCTGCTTTCCACAACTCTCTAACACTTCCTGTAGGAAGCCTTCTCTTTCAAGTCTCACAACTGTGTTTCTGAGGTTTCTCCTGTCCTTCATCGGTGTGCTCACTGTGGTTCTCAACCTGCTTGTTATCATCTCAGTGTCTCACTTCAGGCAAAGAATTATCTTTATTCTAATGGTTATGAATCTGTGCTGATGTATTTTTAAACACTTTAAATACTATGCAAGTAAATTTGAAGAAAGTACAGTCAAATGCTTTGAAAGTACCTTTAAAGTACTTGATAAAACTACATCTGTTTATTTTATTTTTTAATTGTGCTTTTATTTCCTCTCAGGAAGCTCCACAAAACCACCAACTTCCTGCTCCTGTCCCTGGCCATCTCAGACTTCATGGTAGGCCTTGTGTTCCTACCAGGGGAAACTCTCAGACTAACTGCCTGCTGGTTTCTTGGTGATCACTTGTGTTTGTTGTATATATACCTTGTGTCCCTTATTGTCACTGCTTCAATTGGAAATGTGGTGATGATATCAGCTGATCGCTTTGTGGCTATCTGTGACCCTCTGCATTATCACACCAGAGTCACTGTGAAAAGAGTCCAGGCCTGCATCTGTTTGTGTTGGCTCTACGCAATTTTGTACAACGTTACTTTTGTGAAAGACGGTCTAAAGGACATAAATAACTCTTGCAATGGGAATTGTGTATTGATCATGGACTATTTTGCAGGGTTTCTTGATCTTGTTCTAAATTTTTTGGTTCCAGTTACAATGATTGTAGTTCTGTACTTGAGAGTATTTTGTAAAGCTGTTCTTCATGCCCGTGCTATCCGCTCTCATGTTACAGCTGTCACTGTCAAGCATTCTGTGACGCCATCAGCCAAAAAGTCTGAATTAAAAGCAGCGAGGACTCTTGGGGTTCTTGTGGTTGTCTTTCTAACTTGCTTCTGCCCTTATTACTGTGCTGCGCTTTCAAGCGATGGCTCCTTTAATGCATCAGCCATTGCCTTCTGTTTTTTCAGCATTAACTCCTGCCTGAACCCTTTGATATATGCCCTATTTTATCCGTGGTTTAGGAAATCTGTAAAACATATTCTCACTTTTAAAATACTACAGTCTGGCTCATGTGAGGCTAATGTAACATAGACAAACAAGCTGTTCAACACTACACTTTTTTCCACAGCGGAGCAATGCTGTTGAATTGAATAACGAAAAAGTTGATTAAAACCTGAATTATGCAGCAAATTTAACATGTTTTTAAATGTCTGCAATGACAAAAAAATGAACACATTTTCCCCCTGAATGCATCTGTAAACTTTCGTATTACAAATTTGTTATTGTCCACATGTACTTTCCAACTCTGTCATTGCCAAATTATTATTTTTCTCTGTTAAGTCCTAAATGAAATGTATTAGACCCCTTTGACACAGGGTGACAACTCTTAAACACTCGCCACAATCCATCACAGCATCTCCAGGTGGTTCAGAATGCCTGTGCTCGTCTTCTGGCCAAATCTAAAAAGTACACCCACATCACCCCGCTTATCTTCCAGCTTCACTGGCTGCCAGTAAACTTCAGGGTTCATTTCAAGATCCTGATGCTAGTTTTTAGGGCCTTACATGGACAAGCACCATCACTCATTGGTGATCTTCTCAGTTCCTGCATCTGCAGGTCCCTGAGGTCCAGTGATCAAATGCCGCTTCCACATCTAGTCCGGTCCGGTTTAGGTTAGGTGGAGTTGGATCCGGGTCCCGTACCGGTAGTGTTTGTTCACACGCACTTCTCAGGAATGTAGAAATCTCTGAGCATGTGGGCGAAGCAGAAGATGCACGGAGCAGTCTGTGGCGTGTCCCTTGGTTGAACAACAAGCAGTATTGCAGGGCAGGGCAGCCAACTTTTGCACACTTCAAAGAGTGAGAGAGGGTCATGGGGTTGGGAACGGACAATTCGCCAACCGTTTGGGGGTGGGGGGTGGGGTGTGTGTGTGTGTTTGTGGGGGGTCTACACTGTACCGAAGAGGATTAGAGCCACTGACAAGAAAATAAAATAGAAAAGAAAGAGAATTCTTACTTTTTTTCTCGGGGCAAGTTGAGCAAAATACACTATCAGTAGAGTGAATAAAAACAGGATTTTGTGTCAGTTTGAACCTATAAAACACTAGGTTTGTTTATTGAAAATGTACAGTTAACATTGTACATACGTATGCATACAGAAGAAGACGATCTTTTATATAGCGCCTCTCAAGATGAAAATCACAAGGGGCTTCACAAAAAAATAAAAAATTGATGTACAAAATTTTTAAAAAAAGGTTAAAAATACATTTAAAAGGACAAAAAAATGTAAGGAAATGGAGATGAAATTAACAGGAAAGAGGAAAATTAATGGATTCCGTGAAAGGTGAAATAAGAACAGAATAACGAGAGGGTGGTGACGAAGGTCACGCAAAAGCCAGCCTGAACAGGTGAGTTAGAACATTTACAACAAACACCATTGTGTCAGGCTAAATCCCAGTATGGTAACAAATGTAGCAAACATGCCGGTAGTGCATTGTAAACACTTGGTGATGATTAGGTTATTGATCCACAACAAAAGGCAACAGACGCCTTGCCGCTCCAAAGTTTCACCGTTTGTGTCTCGTTTGGTTTGAAGTTTAAAAAAAAATTCTCCCTCTGTTTAATCCTCATCCTCCACAGTTCCACGTTGCAACGCTGAGCTAAATTGCTAAAAACATTAGCACTCTACAAACTATTTATGGTGAGGACAGGGGCGGCGTTAGGCCCAGCTACTTGGGCTCAAACCCCGAATGTTTTATGAAAAGTCCTGGGTAATGGAATACAGGCCAATATTAGAGGATTTGTGGTGTGTATTGATAATTGTGGTATTCGTGCTGATGGAAAATTATATCCAGGAATTCAGACAGCCACTGAGGGCAGCCAGGGGTCCTAAAATAGTGAGCTTTGTGACACGTTCACTGTTAAGCAACTGATGGCAGCCAGCCATGTGATGCAGTTCGGATTCTGTGTTACCAGTTGAAACTAATAATGAAGAAACTGAAGTAACAGTGAGCTATTTCGCAGAGAACGTTAAAATCTATTAAACAGATATCAGAACCATCTGTAGTTGCTTCTTGAAAAGGAAATAGCAGCTAACAAGATGGCCCAGCGGAAAGGGTAAAACGCGATTTAGCAGAAAACTACTCACAGTTTCATATTATCAGCCAAGTTTTGCAAGAGGAAGTAAGAAAACTGTTTAAACAGATCAGCATGCGCCAGAAAACTGAAAATGTGACACTGGCCACAGCCATCAAGCTGCAAGAATTTGATATGTTATTTCCTGCATTCTGGTAGCCTAGTGAACTAGACCAAATTTTTGATTTGCAAAGTTTGGCCTAGGAACGCTCCACAGGGAGCGTAAGTCTCTTCCCTTTCTGGTCGGCTCATGGGTTCCTAGAAGAATGAAAAAATAATGCAAGTCAATGGGGCTAACAGAGCTATTTTCTAATCTGCTTTGCCTTACGCCGTGTATTCAATGTAATGTAATTCAATTTAACTGAAAACTAGTGATTTACGTTTTGACCACGCCAATCATGTACTTTGAGATTTATCAGCTTGTAAATGTTCGTATTTATCATGACCACAAATCAGACATTGGTACGTTGCATAAGTGACAGCACCACATAATTTCCTCTCCCCTAACATAGCTGCTACTTACCACATGGCCAGATTTTTGGTGGTTCTTTCTTCCTGAAAGAACGGATTTGAAATTTACTGAACTTACAGCCATTTTCCTTCTGTAATAGCGTTTCCCCCCATTCGAAAATAAGTGAGTTCTTGGTATCAAAATTATTCTTTAAAATTCACTGACATCATCTGTGAAATCCATGGCACATAATAAGCAGAATTAGAAAATAGCGTTTTTAGCCACATTGACTTGCATTAATGTTTTAGTTCTACTGAGGACCCATGGTCTGGAAGTACACTCCCAATTGGAATCTCCGCAGCCCTTAGCAGCATTCAGGCTGGCCAATCACAGCTCTTTATAGGGGATTCAGACAAAAAGAGTGCTGTGATTGATCCACAGTGGTGGGCCAATCACAGCACTCTATCCGCTCTGGTGGGCGGGATGATGAGTGGAACAAGATGGCGACAGCTCTTTTCAAATGGCTTTTACATCAATTTTGGACTTTTAGGACTTGGGCTTCATTAGAATAAGGAGCAGATAGATGTGTTTAAGTCCTTTATTTAGAAAAAGATGTTTTTTTGCCTTCTTCAACAGCAAACTGCTTCATTTACTGTCATCTGTTGTGGTGAGTCACGTTGTTCGATGTCCAGTAGCATGCAAAGATAGTTTGAAAGACAACGTTACAACCCGCCCCATGACTGACAGCCATCAATGGAGCATTGCCAGACTAAATAATATATTTGTTTAGTCTAATTTACCAGGCTAGAACTCTCCTCTTATAAGCTGCAAGTTATCTAACCCTTATCTACGGTCTCTCTAAGGCCGGGGACACATTGGCCGCCGAAGCGCCGGGAGGCGAAGCGCTCACGAAATTCGGCCGCTGCTCGCTGCTCTTCAGTTCAGACCAGACACTTGTTTCTCCGCTCCGGTCGAGGCGCGCCTCGGCTCAGCTGTAGTTTTTCTTTTAACCACTTGGTGTCCTCCATTTCCTCTCTGCCATTTCCTCTACACCCCCCTCCCCCTTGCTGTTTGTGTGTGTTTGTCCGGGTGTGTGTGAACCTATGGTGTGAACCAGTTGTTAATAGCTGGTCTATGACTTTCTGCTTCTCTGTCCTGTTTGCTCCGGTTGAAAGACACCCAAAACCACACCCCCTTCACTTGGTCATGCACACACACAAATTCGCTGTGTGTGTGTGTGTTCATGTGGTTTTTATGCAGTGTCTGTTTATGAACACATTTGACTATCATGGAAATTTTTTTTAAATGCTTCATTTTGTTAAATTTACCAGCCTGCCTCTTATATCTAGGTTTGACTTCCTGCCAGAATTGACACGGTTCACCCACGGTTCGCGAAAAAAATAGAGCAAACGCCGAAACGATTGCTGCACGGCACGGGCTGCAGCGCCGGCGCTTCGGTGGCCCATGTGGCCTATAGAACAGAATAACAAGGGTGCCGAATGAAGGCGGTCCCCGTTTCGTGGAGCTTTGGCGGCCGGTGTGTCCCCGGCGTTAGTCAGAGCCCGTCTGTGGGCTCTCCGCTAAGAGTGCCGGTGATATTTGTCCCGTCATTTCTTTTATACCTACATTTTCTGGAAGCTTCCAAGTCATCTCCAAAAGCTTCAATCAACATACATTCCTCATACATTCATCTTTGCTAGTTCACTC